GTCCTCCTACAATGACTCCACGGACAGTCAACTACTGTCACTATGGAGCTGTGGACACCAGACAAAGGCAGCTGCTTCAGACTTGGCACAGGGCTGATCAATGGAGACCAGAGTTAGTGTGAAGCTCACACAGTGTGAAGGACACTTCAGAACATCAGCCTCTATGGACGGAGGAGCAGAACTAAACCTGGCTGCTGCTCACCAAGGTTCTAATAGTTTTGGATTTTTCAGTAGTTTTAGTTTTTATTTCATTTTGACTTTTTGTTTTCAAATTCAGTAAGTTTCAACGTTTTTATTCGCTTTTATTTTCTTGAACAGACTTAGTTTTAGTTTAGTTTTTATTAGTTTCAGTGTTAGTTTTCATTTTTTGTTTTTTGTAATCAGGGTCTTTGTCAGGTGTTACAGTCAGACTAGCAGCCTTCAGTACAAACTGTGTGCTCAGATGGACTGAGTGTGATCACCACAGCCAACAGGCTGAAGACACAATCAGCACAACATGAACCTATTTATGAGACGAGGACCTCAGAAACCCAAAAACCTATAGACCAGAGGTTTGATCAATTTAAATGAAACAATTCAAAATTAACTACATGAAGAATTGCACCAGAGGTACATTAACTTCAGTGCAAATTAGGAATAGGCGAAAATAAAAATAAAATCTCAGATTCTTTTCTGCAAAACCTGATTTACAATTTTAAACCGAGTGCTGCCTTCCTGTTGTCAAAATATATTCAAACACCAAACAGAATTTTTCTCTTAAAGTTGATTTTTTTTTAGTCCACTTACCCTGAAAGCTGAGCTGTTCTCACAGAACATCAACAAGGAACTGGTTATTGTTTGGTTAACTGGTTAATGTTTGGTTAACTGGTTAACTGCACATCCCAACAGCATCATAAGGACGTTTTCAGGCCCAGTGATGAACAACACAGCAGCTCCATGTTCTGTTACACATCATCAGTAAACACACGTATGAGGTAGAACACAGGAGCTGCTTCTCTGCTTTTCCTTCTATGTTAAACTTGTGCTTCTGTCCAACATTGTAAACAACAACAACAACAACAACAACACACTGAAGTCTGCATTATTTA